CGCTCTCTCTCTCTCTCTCTCTCTCTCTCTCCTCCTCTCTCTCTCTCTCTCTCTCTCTCTCTCTCTCTCTCTCTCTCTCTCTCTCTCTCTCTCTCTCTCTCTCTCTCTCTCTCTCGCCTCAACCTCACCATGGCAACCAAGACCGAGGCTATGCATGAGAGCATTCTCGCCGTCACCCACAAGCTCAAGAAGACGGTTCCACTCTGGGAGAACGTACGTTGTTGTTTATCCTGGTTCAACGACCAATGACTCTGTGCCCCCTCCCCTCCCTCCACCCCCTCGCTTCTGGCCCCTGGTCAACCATAATTTCTCCTTGAATTAATCGTTACCTCCCTATTCCTCCCCGCCCCCCCCCCACTTGCGCTTAACGATTATTTCTCCCTCAATTTATCGTCACAGCCCCACCGCTCCTCCTCATGCCGCTTGGAGACGGGAAGAAGTTGTCGAGGTGATGAGGGCTAGGCAAGCGCCAAGCAAGCGCCAAGGCCGAAGCCAGGCTGATCCCTCTCTCTCTCGGCTCGTGGTTCATTGGCTGACTCACTCACTATGGCGAACAAATGGGTGGCGACGGTTGGGCGATTCGGTGCTGGCGTGGGCAGTTCCTCAAAGCCTCCCAAAAGTACCACTCGTCGCTGGTGGCCGCCTCGTCGGCAGCGCAGGAGTTCCTGCACCAGTTCTCGTTTCTGGCACGCGAGGCGTGTGAGGCCCGTGGATCGACCGCGGATCTGGGCCAGGGACTGACCGAGGTGGTCGAGGCGCACGAGCTGGCCGAGATCAAGCGCGGCGCGGTGATCGACTCGTTGTTCAACGACGTCATTGCGCCGCTTGCCGAGTCGGTGCAAACGTACAAGGACCGGGCTGTGGCGCTGGAGAAGGAGTACAAGTCACGGAACAAGGCCGAGGAAAAGAACGTGGCGCAGGCCGAGAAGACGTCAGCCAAGGTGTCCAAGGCGACGATGAAAAAGTCCAAGAAGACGACGACTGACCACCTGATGCAGGCGCTGCAAGGCGTGACCGACTCGGTCACTGCTCGTGATGACATGCGCGCTGATTGCCTGCGCAAGGCGCTGGTTGAGGAGCGCCGCCGCTTCTGCTTCCTCCTCATGCACTACTCGACGCTCACAAAGTGCGAGGTCGAAGCTCACGAGGCATCGGCCGTCAAGCTCAAGGAGCGCCTCGGCCACTGGATCAATCTCTCGCTCTCGCCCGACGACCTGCCGGAGGCCACCGCCAACATTGTTGACAAGGTTGAGCGGACGTACGTCGCCATCCAGGAGGACCGCTCTGCCGCTGACGCCGCCTTTGTCGGCGGTGGCGGCGGCGGCAGCGTCGCGTACGAGACCAATGACTACGGCTACGGCGGTGGTGGCGGTGGCGGCGGCGGCGGCTACGCCACCACCGGCGCCCGCCCGCCGTCGCTCTCCATGGCCCCGCCACCCCCTGTCCGCCGCGCCTCGAACGCCGACACTCAGGCTGTCCGCTACATGGTGCTGTACGACTTTAACGATGGGGACGCCGAGTCACTCCCGCTCCGCGAGGGTGACGTCATCACCTCGCTCAACGAGTTTGACGACGGCTGGGTCAAGGGCCGCGACTCTTCCGGCCGCGAGGGCTGGTTCCCCGAGTCGTACGTGGAGAAGATGGCCTCGGG